TGCAATTGACGTTAGGCCGACGTGACAGCTGTATAATTTGAGTACATATGTAATCCTTGTAAAATTGGACAGCCAGCACTGCAACCGCAGCTAACGTTTAACGTACATTTGGTTAGAGGATGCACCCTAACGTCTACTCCACAATAGATCATATTCACGCTATCAATCAGGTAATAGAGAAATGCGTGGAATATAACCAAACTCTACATAGTCCTCATTGATTACGAGAAGACGTTTGACATAGCCGAGACATCAGCAGTAATGCAGACACTACCAAATCAGCGCATCTAAGAACTCTATACATAAACAAACTGTACGAAATCTACATACATTACATCCACAGCCACCATACTTCTCCATAAAGAAAGTGACAGAATCCCAATAAAGAAGGATGTAAGGCAGGCAGGCACGATCTCTACAACGCTATTTACTGCGTCTTTAGAAGAGGTTTTCAGGACCCCAGATTGGGAAGAGTAAGGAATAAGGGTCAATGAAGAGTATGTGAGTGACCTGTGATTCGCTGATGACATTGCTTTGATGAGTAACTCAGGGGACAAATTGCAGCCTATGTATACTGATCTGGACACAAAAAGCAGAAAATTAGGTCTGAAAATTGAAGTAAATAATGAAGTAACTTGCAACAGTCTCGGCGAAAAACAGCAGTTTGAGATAGGTGGAGAGAAGCTGGAAGTTGTAAAGGAATATGTCTACATTAGGACAGGTCGTAACCAGTGAGCCGAACCATGAGAGTAGAAATAGCTAGAAGAATAAAATAGGGGTGGATCACATTCGGCAAGCATTCTCAAATCATGAATGGTAATCCGCCATTAACCGTCGAAGAGGAATGCAGCTGCATCTTGCTGGTACTTACCAACGAAACAGAAATCTGGAGGCTTAGAAAGAGGGTTCACACACAGCAAGCCATGGAAAGAAAAATAATAGGTGTAACCTTAAGAGACAAGAAGAGAGCAGAGTGGGTCAGGGAACAAACCGGGGTTAATGATATCATAGTTGAAATCAAGAAGAAGACATGGGCTGGGCACGTGGCACGTAGGCAGATAACCGTTGGTCATTAGGGTAAATGACTTGGCTCCCAGATAAAGGCAAACACATGTAGGTGAAGACAGAAAGTTAGGTGGGCCGAGGAGATTAAAAAGTTCGCAGGCATAACGTGTTACCTTATTTCGCGCTGCTTAAAAGACGACCACTTGGGATGAAGGACTAGGCGGACAATAAATAGATACCAACTCGATCAAGCAAGTACGCTTGTAAGGTATAACGTGGCAGCAGAAAGCAGAAGACAAAGTTGATTGGGAGATCATGGGAGAGGCCTTTGCCCTGCAGTGGGCGTACTCAGTCTGATGATTATGATTATGGTGATGATAATGACGATCAACATTAGGCTCTATTTGAAAAGTATTTCCGAGACCTGGCGTGGCTTTGTGGTAGACTGGTTAACTGCCATGCTGAATGCTTGGTTACGCTTCCTGCTGGGACCCTCACATTTATTCTTTGCATTAATCGGGACAACGCTCCCAGTGTCAGGTTTATCTTAACGCTTACGCTGTTAAAACTGCCCATGCTTGTTCTCACCGTTCCTGGGTAGACACCAACTGTCAATCAGCTGTGGTATATATTTGCATTCATACTGGTGGCACATACACGCCCGCGGGTATGCGCTGCTCTTTGGCAGACAGTGTTTGACGGCGTACGTGTCGGGATTGTAACTTAGAAATGTGGCAGCTTGGGCTAGTTGGTATGGCATGACGATAGTTATAGCGCGAGAACAAAACGACGATACAGAGACAAGAAGGACACGAAAGACACGAGCGTGTTCTTGTCTCTGTGTCGTCGTTTTGTTCTCGCGCTATAACTATCGTCATGGGATTGTAACATTATTAATGTAATGACCGGCGTGTCATATTCGTCAAACCAGCTTACCATCCCATACTGATCTTGGTTCACTGTGCCAAGTTAGGGGGTGATCAAAAAAGCACCCAGACGGCAGTGCTTAGATAGATAGATAGATAGATAGATAGATAGATAGATAGATAGATAGATAGATAGATAGATAGATAGATAGATAGATAGATAGATAGACGCCAAAAGTGTTTGCAGTTCGCAAAAAAATGATTCGTGTTTCATAACATCAAGGCGTTTAGGCCCCCGCACGGAAACCTTGTGTTTGGGAGCCTTCTGTACGACAGCTTTGTTTGCCTTCGTCAGTGTCTTGTTTTAATTCTCTTCACATCTGTTCCTGACAAGACGGATTTCCGTCCAACTATCAATTTTAAACAGGAAGTAATCCACTGAATCCGTGCGCGTGTGTGTGTCATCAAGGGCATGTGTTTGTAAACATTGCATTCCATCGATGACCTGCGGGGACGGCTTTCAGCTCTCCCATAGTACAGTATCAAGTACTGTAAATCGTTTAACCTTTTTTCTAAACACTCACATCTGTTCTTGAACAGACGGATTTCCGTCCAACAGGAAGTAATCCACTGAAACCGTGCGCGTGTGTGTGTTAACACACGCACTCACGCAAGCACGTGCGCATGCGCACTGCAAACATGCACATGCACGCACGCACACACTCGCGTAGCGTAGCTCATACGCATAGAATTCTAAGACTGATAGCCAAAAAGTGGCTAGTATTGAAGGCGTGATAACGCTGCCGAGAGAAGCTGTCCACAAGGAACGGCAGTGAGGACAGACGATGTGTTAAATGGTATACTTGTGGTCGCAATGGTCACAGACGTCACAGATAGCGCTGTCAGTCATTCCGATACGGAAAGCAAAGGTGGTAGGTAGAAAACGGTACAAGCCACCGTCAGCCGAGAATGGTTGTCTCGGCTTGGGGAAGTTCTGATGGAATTTGAAGATGGTGGTACGGGTCGAGGTGGTGAAAGTAGATACGCGGGAAACCAGGCGTATTCCGCGTAGAGTGCTTGACATTACGCGTGAGCCTGTAAATCGTAGCTGCTGTGTCAGTTAACGACAGTACGATTGTGTCGTGCACGCCATCTTCATGACCATTCATAGCAGCATTATCAGCATCGACTTGGCAATGCACTTATAATATACGCTACAAAGAAAGAACACAGGACCCTCTTCAACAGAACGAGCACACATTCTGCTTAGCATCGTCTCGTGTTCTTTGTAGAATTTGCCTGTCCTTAGGGTATCACCAAGCCCACATAAACCAACTAGTTGCTTTCGCCACATTACAGACATTATCGACATGTTGGTTACCGACGAGGCCACCATGCCACATGAACCTGGACGCTACTGCAGTGTTATGTAAAGCCCTTTGTAAGACTTTACGCAGATATCCGATTGCTTCAACATCTTGAACCTGACGAAGTCCGGCAATCACATTAGGCCCGACATAATTACTCCTCGGTAGTGAACCGGTCTGACAACTGCAGCAACTGCGAGGTTTTGGAATGCACGCATGTGGTACGAGAAACGGAAACGCCAGGATCACCCCAACCAAAGCTCAAGTGGACTGTACGCAGTATTACAGGCATAATTTATTGAATATAGGTGACCAGATAGAGAATGCGATTGAGACCGACACTGTGAAAATCGTGCGGGCCTTCTTCATAAGTAGTATCACCCGCGCTCTCAATTTCTCAATTAACACGAAAAACCGCGATGGACCAAGTGAAACGTCTTAGTCGCGTTCAGATGGGGGGCAAATTCAAAGAGAAAAAATGAAAGAAAAAGTACTGACAAAAAAAAAGGACGCTCTTATACTTAGATTCAAGTCCACATCGAAGAAAAATCCGAGCAGTCAAAATGATACCTGGATTTACCTCCCTAACGGAGCGTCTCACAATCGCATTTTGGTTTAAACACGCGAAGACAGATGGTACCTCGTTTCAATGAGTGCGCAAAGTAGTAGGTCGGTTGCGGAGAAGCGCTGCTTTGAGAACAACGCCTCTTAGAAGTATTTTCACACACATCGCTGGCCGCACTGCGCGCGCGGTGAATAATGAGCTCACGTCAGCACCAAGTGTTACTCCTTCCATGTGGTACAATAGGGAATGAGATTACGTGCGCTACGTTTTAACCATGGCATACCGTAGAAAACGTACTTCACTCCCTTTTTTGCCAGAGGAAATCCGCAAAAACGAAACATTCTCTATGGCGTGGCTTTTGTACGCTGCGAATGTAGATACAGTTCCCACATTCTCTGCGTACGTGACACTGGTTAGAGCCGTTCGGAGTACTTTTTCACGCAAGGTGTGACCAATTTATCATCACTTCAAAGTGTCACTGATGCTGTGGGGCACCTCGTGGGCTCTTAAATAAACTGGCCCTAGTCCAGTACAGTCGGAGAGTATTTGCTGGTTGTCCCCCTGGTTCGTGGTTTCTTTAGGAGGCTCCGTAGCGCTAAAGCCGGCTTTTAATCGCACCAGTGAATTCTGTTATCTTTATTTCTTCTTATTAGGTTAACTTCGAGTTGTTTCGACAGGAGGCCAGTGTGCGCAACATGGCGTTTTTTTTTAGTGTTTGCATCAGCTGTTCCACAGATAAAGAAGGAGCTACGAATATGTCGACCGAATTCGTGCGAAGGAATTCAATAGAGATCGCAAGATCACTTTGGTGTTTCACAAACCGAGAATTTATCGATTACGAGCCGGGCGAGTCAATCCAAATTGTTTGATGAGCCTCTATACATAAATCATTCTTTCACATAACGCTTTTACCAATTTCTCGGTATTTTTTTAATTCAATTTCCTGCAAATACTAGCAGCTATCGCTCCCTCCTTGCAGTAATGCTTCGGGACATACCTGAGAATGTTCCTGGTTTGCAACCCTCACGTCAGGCTCCAGCCATAAAACGTGGAAACGTGTCGAGCGACACGGACAGTGAGGCAGCTGATTTGTACTCAGAAGGCTTCTAGTCATTGGATGATAACTTCATGGTCGAGTCGAATCATCGGCAAGTGTTTCCACCTTTTAAGACTCCACCATAGCGCTGAGCGCACACCATGCTGTTCATGCCTGAAGACCCTGCGTCCAGCTTGCGACTCCGCAAGGCAAGTTCTCTTTGTGCTTCTAGAGGAAACCGCACCGAATGAGATTCAAAGACGTGAGGGTCATTGCACGGAAGAATGTCCTTGCCGGTAGGCACTTATGCACCGTAGCGTGCTGCATAGCCTTCATAACATAACAGTTATCAGAAACATTAAAGTTAGGCCAATGGTTGCTACAGGTCATAATGGCATTCTGGACGTCATTTATGATGTCGATCTTTCGATCTCAGTTGACGACCTGCCAATAATAATAAGTCAGCTACAAAAGGCACTCACATCACGCACGTGACCAGACTCAACAACTGAAGTTGTTTGAGGCTTGTGTTCAAAGTGAGACAGCCTTACCCTCACACGTCAAAGTTGGCCACATTCTGCACTCAATACGTGCCGAAGCCACTGCAATGCTAAAGGTGTTTCATCAAGATAGGACACGTAAAAGGTGTCTGAAAACTAGTTTGTGTGCCCACAGTGCGCTGAATTTATTCAAGAGACGCCTGCGGTGCCACTGTGTTGCTGATCTCCAAACTGCCTACGACGCTCATGAAGGCTCATATAACGATAGCCCACGGGTACGAAACGAGCACGTGGTACTCAAGCGTATGGTACAGGGCAATTCAACGAACAGAGAAGCTGCCGCTACACCTCGCCGATGACAGTTTCGAGGCGGAATAACATCGCAAAAAGAGTGCTCTACCGATAGAGAGATTTCAATATTTATCAAAGCGGCTGCGCTACGAACACCGAACTTAATGAAGACGGATACTGCGAAACCGAAAACAGGGCACAGCAGTGACACCTCATGAACATTGGACCTCCCTTCTACGAGGTCAACCTGCTTGGGGTCGTATAGAACCCCACCGCCCTCGACGACCACTCAAACCACTGATGCGATGAATGAAGATCGATAAGTGATAAGCTTGCTGCAATCGCTTATGAGTGCCATGCGTGTTATACTGAGCAACATGAAGGCTCCGTCTGCGCAGAGCGCACTGCAAGTACTGGACATCCTGAAACCAGTGCTTGCAGCTGAAGGGTAAAACCACGGATAGCGAGACACCATCGTTTCGAGAGGAAGTCAAGAATGCTTCCATTTTTTAGTGAAACACCAGAAGTTTTGAGTCGCGCATATGTGACTTTAGACAGCAGTTTGTATTTGTGAATCATTTCCTTATCATTGTGATTTGCGAACTCAACCTGTCCGCTTCAGTCAAACTATCTGGTTATGAGTGCTTTAAATACACCTCCCATGGAGGCTGCAGCATGGTTATTGTAATCATGTGTTGTGACCTGACTTATGTTCACCACATAGTCTCTCGCCTGACGAAGAGAAGGAATATGTGTTCCATAATGTGAAGAAGAATAAGGTTACTTTCACGATTCTTGGAGCTGACGCATCTCCATCAAGCCGCCTACACAGTGAGCGCTTACACGGTATTCTGACATTGACTCTAATGATTGATATGTAGGGTTTAACGTCCCAAAACCACTATAGGCATTGACTTTACGCCCATGGGTGATGACTGGTGACTTTAATGTTCACCATTTCCTATGGCAAAGCTCCAGAGTTCACTCTAGAAAAAGGAGGTTGGTATCCTTTGCCTCGGAGTATGAACTTCGCGCTTTTAAATGGAAGCCGTACATATTTACGCGGATCAGCCTGCAGTATAGCTGCCTGGACTTTACACCAGTTTCTCACTCATTTACCAGAGAAGCGCGCTGGTTTTTGAATTTGGAAACGTGGGCGGCGACCATACTTCAACTTTCCTAATGATAGAAAATTTCACCTGCTCCAAGTCCTCCAGTGCCCTCCATTTTGGCTGAAATTCAAAGTGTTAATGAATGACTTTCGTGGTGACGGCTCCTTCTATTATCTTGAGGCCTCGATAAAAGATGCCCTGAAAAATATCACGTATTTGATTTTCACTAGTTACACGCGCACCAATTTCTACATCAAGATTGAGAAACTTCGCGCAATACGTCGTCAGGCGGAACGTAGGTACAGACGGACAAAGTGCACGCTTCTCAAAGTTGATAACCTTTGATCTCTGTGCATCGCTTGTAACTGCGAATTTTTTTGCTTTCTTGTTCATTTTTAGAAGGTTGCTACTCCTTCGCGGCTCTGTTGAAGGGACGAATTCTTCGTTGCCTTCTGCGGCAAATAGATGAAAAAGTGAAGTACGTACTAAGAGAATGCTACAATCGATGAAGAAGCCGTGACATGTGTCACGCCTTAGCCCGCCTTCTATTTTCTTTTTCAACCGCGGCATCAACTCCAGTCTTGTAAGGGCGACACGGGGTAATTTCATTAACGCCGACGCTACTTTCAAGAACTTTCCAAAATATCGGCACATTGGGTTCATTTAAAGCCGGTGTCAACTTAGATGGGTTCTTGATTCCTTCGTGCATTGTAAATACTTTAAAGCCTTGCTCAGAGACCCGCGGTAACGTGTCTGCACGTCTTAGCAACCCGATGAAGTGCTTAATAATGCAGATGCTTCGAGAGGGTAAAGGTTCTATATTTAGTTTGAGAAGTGCACGGCAGGTTTTTTTTGTTCGCTATATTTTGGCAGCCTATTTTGTGCCCCAGTGTTTCTTTCAGTGGCAGATGAAGTCAGGTTTTCTCGTTCACTGTGTTTTGACAGCCTATTTTGTGCCCCAGTGTTTCTTTCAGTGGAAGATGAAGTCCCGTACGTCTTCGAGCACGGACACGTCTTTTCCCTCATTTTCGTGAAGTGTTCGCGCTCCAGAATTGCGACTATATGCAACCCGCGGCACACGGGAGAACTCCGGTAAATAAAAGAAAAAGAAGAAGGGCACCCTGGGTTTCAGGGCCGAAAACTTGTGTAAGCTAGCCACAAGTGAAAAGGCCAGATATTCTTTTCTAGCGTGACAGAAAAGGCGTAATTATGCCGCATGTCGGGAGCGAGGCAAATGTTTCCTATGCAAACACGCACTGGCTAGTTGCTTTCTCCTTGAGAGAGTGAAATAAATGCAAACGACAGAATAAAGGTTGTGTGCTCGAGTTGTTAAAAAAAAAGGCGGCTGCGTCTCCACGCTCACCTCAAGGAAACTAAAAAGAGCAAAAAGGACCCTAGAACAACAATATAAATGAGAATATAAATGCGGTTAAGAATTCGGGCAAACTAAAATAAGGCTTTTACGAAATGCCCACGGGGATACGTGCGTGAATTTCGATAAAGAAACAGGCTTTATATTTAAAATATCTCATCAATAAAAAATTCGTACTTAAATTCACTATAATTCTTAGTTATAGCTTATATTAGTAGTATACTAAAGAAAGTACTGAAAAATATCACCTACTACTCGGCCAATTCCGGACGGCGGATTCCCAGGTACTCACCTAGGCCTCAAAGAGTTCCGCTCTCAGAAGAAAAGTGACAGCATGCACGCACCTTCGCCCTGTTAGACTACGCTCGTGCTCCTTAAATGGGGGCTTTTAGCTAGTACGTATACTTCTTTACGTTGGCGGATACCGGATAAAATCTGCACTTGCACAGGTCTTTACAGAACGTGAACTTTTACGTAACGTTAGCTACCCACCGGATTCACTGCCTAACTCACCAATCCACCTTCGCTTGCTGAAACCCGCAATATTCGCATTGTGGAGGCTCCAGCCGTCGATTCAACATAAGCCGAAGGGCGAGCGCCAATATTGATCACATTGTTTCAGCGAGACTACCAAAGGCTGAATAGTCTAGAACATCAAAACTGCAAGCTTTTGAACCCCCAAATGACTGGATAGCTGGCTCCATCTAGCGGGATCAAAATGAACCAAGCAATCACAGTATTGTTATTAAAGAAACATCGTGCATTGTTCGTCCGGTATAGAAACCTCGCACCCGCGTTATCACGAATGAGTCACCTTTAATCATTTTCACCAGAAAGACATTAAACGTAAACTAACGTCTTCATGACTGTGGTTGCACGAAGTGTCATGGGATGTCGACACCATCGTGTGAGTAACCTTGTATATCTGCAACCTTTTGCGCATACGAGGATACTGTACACGAATAAAAGTCTAGTGATTGGTAATTCAATCCCAAGTTAAATATAGGTTCAATGCAGCTAGCATCCCCATTTATGTTTTGCGAAAACGTAAAGGCATATGTTTACGTACGTACGTAAACGTTTACGTATGAGGAGCTACAACGTTGAAAAACATGTGCAGCTTGTCCAAAGCTTTATCGCTGCCACTGCTGCTATTACTCAATCTGTGCTGTGCTCTGCATTTGCTCCCTTTCATTATCCCCTACTTGTTAATTGAATTGAAGGCGCAAAAAAAAAGAAACCGACAACACAAGAAGAATACGAAACAGAGCGCCACTGTCCCATGTCTTGAGCTCTGTTTTTTTTTTGCGATTTTAATTAAATTATGAACGAACACCAGCTCGCCCAACAAAGAGTTATCTCACTCCCTTATTTAATTTTTTCGCTCAGTGTCAACAACTAGGACGACGAAAAACTTGTGAAAAGGTGCTCTAGAGCTGCTCCATAAACACGAAAACATGAGTAAGCCGTACCATTGGCTAGTGGGCACGCATAGTTTAGAATGCAGCCCGAAAAACGCGCTCGTGCATGGCTCGTGCGGTTAATTCAATAGAATTGGCGCATCGCGCGGTCGAGCTCCGTTGCATTGGTTCAATGTTCGTGAAAGTATTGCGCTTGGCTAGGCAGCACGACGACGTGATTGCATTAGGGAAAGCAGCGGAGCGCATATAGCTCGCGAGATGCTCGACTGTACCTATAACATCGTATCCAACTGACTCCCCACGCAATATAGTCATTGCATGGAAGAATAAAGAAAGATGAAATACTAGAGAATTACGCGTATCACTTATACTACGCCCCCTAAAAACAAAAACAAAAACACATGTTTTTGTTTCAAATTTATAAGTACATGCATTGATACAGTGTGATTCATTCACTCCCGGATAATGCGAAACGTTCAGGGCACATGTTCCTACGAGTTTTGTTACATGTCA